TCTCTCTCTCTCTCTCGCTCTCTGACTCCCTCCATGTCTCTCTCTCTTTCTCTCTGGCACCATGTCTGTCTGTCGCTCTCTCTCTCGCTCTCTGACTCCCTCCATGTCGCTCTCTCTCTTTCTCTTTGGCACCATGTCTGTCTGTCTCTCTCTCTCTCGCTGTCTGACTCCCTCCATGTCTCTCTCTCTCTTTCTCTCTGGCACCATGTCTGTCTGTCTCTCTCTCTCCCCCCCTCTCTCACTCTTCTTCTCTCTCTCTCTCTCTGTCTCCCTCCATGTCTCTCTCTCTCTCTCTCTCTCTCTCTCTCTCTCTCTCTCTCTCTGACACCCTCTATGTCTGCCCCCCCCTCTCTCTGACACCCTTATGAATACCTATATTTATACAATAGGGTGAGACTTTTTATGAATCAAGTTAACTTGATGAAAAAGTAATATGTTAATAGAGCATAAAGGCGTACAATAAATATTTAGTGACAAAGTAAGAAGTCAATGAGCGTTACCGAAAGAACGCCGTAGACCAGGGGTTCCAAACCTTTTGCAACTTAAGTCCCAATTTGGATTGTTGAAAAAAATCATAGGACCACCTTCCCAAATAAATAAGAAACACCATAATACATATTCTGCTTTCCCTCGCTGATCACTGCCTGCCATTATGAATACAAATTGTATGTATTCAGGGTCCTCACCACACGCGTCGTAGCTTTTACTGGCGCAGGTTGTCTTCCACATCACGCTTTCGTTTAAAAAGAGCAACCCATTTAGTTTTTTTCATTTGATGTGAATTCAATAGCCCATATAGATATCAAAATAAGATTTTATTTTTTAAAGCAGTCATATAAGAACATGAAGCTACACATCTGCACACATCAATTCGCATCAGTTAAGAATAATCAGGCATACTTCACTTGTCTGCCTCCTCGGTAAGATCATGCATGGATGCAAAAATAATTTGTGGTTAATGAAACCACAACAAATAGTCAGCATTCATAATGAATGAATTGCACTTCTGGTTAGATGCTAAAACTGCATTTCGTTGACAATAAAGTTGAATCTGAATCTGAATGACATATAGTAAATATAGTAATGATTAAAAGATTGAGCATTGATTGAGAGAGCAGTGATCTTTTTTGATAAATTAGGCCCCTTTATTGTAGTGAGTAGTGCTTCTTATGAGCACTTACAACTCCTACCTCATTGTGGTTGATTAATTAGGGCAAAGATTTTTTTGTACTAAGTGTGAACCTAACAATAATGCTGCATTCACAAAGAATCAGGCAAATGGCAGACAGATAACACCTCGATGGCACGGACAAAAACAAACGGCAGGGTGGAAAAACAAAACAAATATAAAGTTTTTAAATATTATTATTGCCATCAAATTGCAACTTATTTTGACTTGTTTTAAACCATTTATTAAACAATGTGCAATTAAGTTTCATCCTTGAATGTTACCAGGTGACAATTCTGAAAGTAACTATAGCCAGCTAACATAACGTTAGCCTGTTTCAATTGTGTGTATTTTGTCAGATTATTTGAATTGGCTGGCTAGTAATAAGCAAAAGGCTAACGCTAGCCTTAAAGCAGACTATCTGCAAAAATATCTGAATCGTACGATCACAATGTTTAATGTTCAAATAAACCCCAAAAAACAACTACATTTTTTCTCATTTCCCAACAAATGTCAATAACAAGCGTGTTACAGACATGTGCATCAATTTTTAGTGTCCCCATTCAAACAGCAGCCCATTTCTGCATTTGGTTGTGTTTTCTGTATTTGCAGTGTTTGAGCTCTCAAGGCCACTGGCAGCATCCACATTCAGGCTCTTTTATAACAGTATACATCTGTGAGGGTGGTACAGAACAATGTGGGGGTCTGGATAGGAGCCTCATTGAATCCTGTATTGAGTCTGTTCGGGAAGCTTTACCTTTACAGTTTACTCTACAGTCATCTGATATGAGGTTTGGCACCAACATTGTGTTGTGAAATCTTCAGGTATTACTTGAAGATATATGCCTTTTTCATCATTCTATTATAGACATTGACAAACATTAGCATTTTAACATCAGATTTGCATCCAAGAGAGCAACGGTGGCCTTCAGGTAACGTAAAAACGTGAAAGGCATGTTTGGTTTGTCCGTTCTGGGCTACTGTAGAAACATGGCATTGCAACATGATGCACTCCATTAGCTTAGCGTATTCTGGGTGGAGAGTGTTATCACTGCTTCCAGCAAGAATATAATTTAAAATCCTTCTCCTCACCTACAAAGCCCTAATTGGTCCGACACCATCATATCTTAAGGAGCTTCTAGTACAATATTATCCTACTAGAGCTACGCTCCCTGAATGCGGTGCTATTTGTGGTTCCCAGAGTCCTAAAAAGTAGGATGGGAGCCAGAGCCTTCAGTTATCAAGCTCCTCTTCTGTGGAACCAGCTTCCCGTTTCAGTGGGGGGGGCAGACACACTCACCGCATTTAATTAAGAGTAGGCTTAAAACTTTCCTTTTTGATAGTGCTTATAGTTAGGGCTGGCTCAGGTTTGCCTTGGACCAGCCCCTAGATAAGCTGCTATAGGCCTAGACTGCCGGGGGACATCCTAGGATACACTGACCTCCTCTCGCCCCTTCTCTCTCTCTCCTACTGTATGAATTCATGTCCCATTAATGCTCATTACTAACTTTGCTTCTTCCATCTTTGTGCTTTCTCGCCTCATAGGTTTCCATGGATCGTGGTTATATCTGGACCCTGGTCCTTCCTACCACCATGGTATATATATATATATATATATATATATATATATATATATATACTGTATATTACATATGATCTTATAAAATACAATACATTGATATAGATTAAATTAAGCGACAGTATATAAATTTGCTAAAATTAGCAAAAACCTTGACCTGCCTGGATAATGCAGCTATAACAATATAACTCTCTGGAAGGGGCGATCTGCATACTTTTACCTTTGCTATACTTAAAGCAATTACTCAAGGTTTCATTGAAATCATCAATTGATTTTAAAAAGTAAAAATATGATTATATGAAATTGCTGAAGAAATTCCAGCCAGAGAGAACACATCCCGTTTTCCTAACAGCAAAAGAAACAACTTCTGTGAAGGGACAAGACCTCGTCTGGATCTGTAAACTGCATGTATACAAAAAATAATTGATTCTTTAAAAAAAACTGTTCCAAAGTAATTTTCCCACACATTAATCCACTGGGGGCTTCAACCTAAAAATGTAAATACATTTTTAAGCGATGATACTTCTGTACTTTTATTCAAGTAATTCTTTGAATCCAGGACTTTTACTTGTTAAAGTGCATTTTACACATTATTATTTTTGCTGAAAAAATACTTAATGTCACAAATGATTTCGCCTGCAGAGACGTTAGTATTGGACCACTGGAGGGATGATGATGATGATGATGTGTTGTGGAATTTCAGCAGTAACACTGATCAGCCTGATGGGGGCATCAAACCTAAAGGGTAAACGTCCTATCACCAGTCTGGCTCTGACACCATCAGAGGGGATGGAGGGACGATGCTGCTGGTTTTGGTGTTTTGACCTTTTGTCCATGCTGCTGCTGTCACTGTAGTCACTGTAACTCGCATTGAGGGGTTCGGAGTGGATGTCTTGCTTTCTGATCATTTAGAAAATTAGAAATATTGACATGTTTCAACTCTGGCCTCACTGCATTCACCATTAACCCTCTGAATGCCAAGCAGTTTCAGGGCGTTTTCCCCTCCCATCACATTGTTCTCTCTGTAGCCTTGATTTAACTGCAATATACTGTATAAGTCCTATAAGTCCTGCACTATGGAAACAGCACAACAATGGCTTCAAGTAGAGATAACTCAAAAATATCTTTTATGCAGTATAACACAGTTACCATGCCAAGTTGAATTTCTTTGATAATTTATTTTACAGAAATTGACAAACAATGGAATCTATATATCCAACATTTTTAAAGGATGCCACAAGTGTTATGTTGGAAAATCAGCTCTCAGTCTTAGGCAAATCAATGATGGCTTCCTAGTTTCTAGAGTAAACGGTATATTTGCGGTGACATTTTAAGGCAAAGCGCTACCCTTGATCAGCCTGACGGGCAAAGAGCTCCCATTTCTTGACAGATCAGTGTGGTAACTGTCAATGTGATTTTTAAAATGATTGTTAATATTGAAAGGAAGAACGAATGTCCTTTATATCTTGTTTCTCTAAAGAGAGCCCATGACAACTGACAAGGCGTGATACAAATGTGAAATTTATTTTCACTTGGATTTCTCACTTTCAGAACCAGAAGATGCTTTGAGAGAAATGTTCCAGAACAACCTCCATGTTGTTTTCACGTTTGAAAACCAAAAACCAATCCCAGTCCAGCGAGGGGTGCATTCATCCAGTCAGCCGTCAGTAGGTGTTTGTGTTGTTCTGATTGAAGCAGAGGCCTGTCAATCATTTTGTGTGTGGCTTACTTGAAATGACATCTGTTCCAAGCAGATGCTTGATGAGCCTTTGCAGAGTACAATGGCTTTGTGAGGAAAAACAAAGCAACCTGGTTGAGTCCAGATTGCATCAAAACTGGTTCAGTCTCTCATATAAAAAAATGAAATATACATACACATATATGTACATTCAAACACTCTTACCAAGCTTGTTTGCAAGACATTTAGTCAATGAAATCATGAAGTGCATCTTTGGAGGGATGGGAAAAAAACACTTGTTGTCAGGATCCCTGTCAGACCAGACACCTCCCATGGCCACACAGCTGCAGCCACTCCAGCCGATTACTTCCTGCAGGCTGACACACTAGACTCGGGTCCCACTAACGCTTCCC